AAAAATCCACACCCAAACAAAGCAGTTAAACTGACCTAGCCCCCAGTGTAGACAGAGACTTTGCTCGTTGACCTAGATCCACCTCCCCAAGAGGCAGTATTACCTATGTTGACAGGAGAATCCCTACTGCTGGCATAGGTAGAGTCTTCACTGAATTTCTACAGCAGCGCAGCTGCAGTGTTTTAAGTGTAGACAAGCCCTAAATCTGAACCTTCAGATAAGGGACGTTCTCATTCCTTCAGCTACGTACTTAAGACCTGCAGTCCAACTACCAGTGTAAAGGCAGGAAAAAAACGCCATCTCCAAAGGTCCATCATACTACAGCAGAGATACATTGAGACAGTGGAGTTGGGTAATACTTTAGGGAAGCCCAACATCCACCTTCTCAAGGCTATTCTACCAAATTACCTCATTTAAGAAACGGACACTATTCTAGTGGGAAGACAAGTGTGTCTGCCTCAAACGGATAATCCACAATAAGATGATCCAACGGCAAACATCAAACCCATCTATGCTGCTTTTCATCAAATTGTCTGCCATCCTCAGGAAACTTGGAAAGGCTTATCAAACAACTCAAAACAGCCTCACATTCTTACTTCATTTCACCTCATGCAAACCTATTATTCTCCTCACACTGAATTTTCAAGTATTTTATTTCCTGACCAGGCTATACAAAACATGTAGATTCTTTTTAGAGTTCATAATTTTTTAAAAATGTCTATGCCATCATTGTTTAGGATGCAAATATTCTTTGACTTTACCAGAATCTATGAATGTTTTGAATACTAAATAGCTGATTAACCCTAGCTACTACAGTTTGGTAACAGTCAAGTTCCTCCCACTATAAAGAAACTGCTAGTTATTTTCTGGGGAAATAATCATCTGGCTTCTAACTTAACTGTCTGCATCTTGTTAAGTCAAAACAACCATCTTGTCCACACTCAGAAGTTGCAATGGTTTAACTTAAATTGGAGTGCTGTCTTTTCAGTAAGTAGTCTCCTCAACTTCCCTCTTCTTACAGCAATAGTGTGGTCAAGTACCTTTTCAAACATCCAAAGGAGTTTGGGGGTATGGATGAGTGCAAGGTGGCTGAAGCTCAATCCAGACAAAACAGAGATGGTAGTTTGGAGGAAACCAAGTGGAGTGTGAGGGAGAGACTATGTCTGACCTTCCGGATGAGGGTGTTGTCCACTAGTTACTCATGTTTGCCGCATGGATGTCTGTTTAGATTCTCCATTATTGATGGATTATCAATTTTTGGCAATAGGAAAGATGGACTTCTCAACTGTACTTAGCAACGTCTCTTGGATATGGACCTCTACCACAACTGATGCTTTGTCATCTCAAGATTAGGTTATTGCAATACACTTCTTGGGAGTACATCTTAAAATCTACTCAGAAAATGAAGACTGGATGGAATGTGGAAGGCTGCTTTTTAACTAGAGTGCCAAACATTGCACTACGCTTAATGATCTGAATTGGCGGATTATGATTTTCCAGGTGTTGGCTTTAACCTATAAATCTGCAAACAGCCTAGGCCCTGCCTACTCAGACTCTCAGAATCTAGCCAGAGTCTAGATTGGTGTAGGTATTAATGAGCTGAAGCATTCTTGATTTGAAAGAGAACTGTTGGCAGAACATTCTCTACAATGGCCCTTCAGTTTTGGAATTCTCCCCAATCCTGCTCAGAAATAGCTCTGCAGAACATGTTGCAAAGTTCAAATTTTAGGGAGCTTCCAAAATGGAGCACTTGACAGAGAGCGCTTTAGGCAGAGTACCTTTCCTCATTTTTCTTTTACTCAAGCCTTGATCAATTATTGCTTTATCTGGTGGAGGTTGTCAATTTGTTTCTCTACTGAGTAGAGCTTTTGAAGCCATTGTCAGTCTCCTAGATATTGACAGGTTTCAGAGTAGCAGCCGTGTTAGTCTGTATTCGCAAAAACAAAAGGAGTACTTAATGCATCCGATGAAGTGAGCTGTAGCTCACGAAAGCTTATGCTCAAATAAATTGGTTAGTCTCTAAGGTGCCACAAGTACTTCTTTTCTTTTTTAGATATTGACAATAAGCTATGAATCTTATCCCTTCAATGTCCTTCATGTATAAGCAGTTTTACAGAATGAAAGCAAAGTTCCAATGAACTTTTTAGTATTTGTTTCTGTAGTTTGAATTTTTAACTAAAACAAGTGCATGAAAAATATTTGAGACTATATTCAGGAATTCTAGCCTAAAGGCTTCCCTCATAACTTACAGTGGTCAGAGATTGTTTGCAGTGTTGTTGTACCCATGTGGGTCCCAGGATATTAGAGAAACAAGGTGGGTGAGGTAGTATCTATTTTTGGACCAAGGCAGACAAGCTTTCAAGCTACACAGAGTCTTCATTAGGTCCCGAGACCTGAAGAAGAGCTCTGTGTAGCTCAAAACCTTGTCTTTCTTGGTCCAATAAAAGATATTACCTCACCCACCTTATGTCTTTAGTGGCCAGAAAGAAAGAACTGAGTTGAGACTTAATCCATTTCTAGAAACAAATTGCTCAAATGGTAGAAGAATCAGAGAGGGACCCTAATTCTATAGGGAAGTAACTGATGTTACTCACCTTTTAAACAGATACATAACTTTATGTTAAACAGTCTTACCGCCTACTTTTTAGTATGCATCCTTTTTATTGCTGTACATAGGACAGTTAAGAAACACCCATTCTTATATAGCGTATAGCAATTCTTTACTCTTCTATTCAACAAAATTCAATGTTTGGGGGCTTTGCTGCTGAATTGGGGCCTAACTGAGCAGATTCAGACAATTACCAACATTTAACATTTCTATTGCAGTTGTTCCTGGAAGCCCCTGCTGTGGGCAGACAAAGTACAGAGATTTTATTCTCCTTCGTGTTTCCTATCTAAATATAGGTCCCTACTGAAGATCACATTTTCAACTTTTGCTAATCACAGAAGTGACATGGGGAATGACTTAGCTATCTTAATTTTTAAAATGTTTCTTTTGTTGCAAGATCAGAAATTGTGTTCCATTAAGCCATGAGAACCGTAAGATCTACCTGAAGAAAAGGGTAATCATACAGCGTGGGAAGACAAAGAAAACTGATTATAACTGTTAGTTTCAGACTGCTGCTGGATGGTTCTGGGGAATTCTTCTGCTTGGGTTAATTTGCATGGGTCAACAGCAATAGTACTGCACATGTTCAGTGAAGTGATAAGGCACAGGTCCAGCACTGCCATGTCAGCACTACTACTATATAAACCTGGAACATCTTCATAAATTTGGGATGAGAAAAACATCTAGAGAACAGCCATCAAAAGAAGGGATGTCCCTAGAGACTGAGGCTAGGGCAGATTCACAAATTGGAGGAAAAGAGACACACAGGGAGAACTGGACATTTAACACACCAGGGGGTGGGGCGAGGGGGGTAAATCAATTCCAGAGGAAGAATCTAGCAGCATGAGAGGGCTTATATCCTCTGTGCAGGGGTCTGTGGCAGAATGAATAGTGAAAAGAATCACCCCATAGCTTCCCTGAACCAATAGAACTGATGCACCGCAAGTACTGTACCTAGCTGGTGTCTCAGCAATCACATCTCAATAGCTCATAATTACTAAAAAGGTTCTGCAAAAACCATCACTCCATTAAACACACAACAGCATGTAGGAAAACATGAGAATTCATGTGACAGTGAACCCTGCTAAAGTGAATGTTTTATATTAGAAGTGTTAACTCCTTAGCCAAAATGGTAGCTTTACGGTGAGCCCTGAACAGTGGGCATCACTCCTTCCAGTAAGATAGCAGGCACCTAGCCATTACAATTAAGAATACTTTTCACAAGAAGCATTTCTGACCAGGTGACCTTTTTAGAAAGCCACATGAGAGGGCTAGGTGAAGTCTCCCGGTAACGGCTCGTTGATCAGCACACTGCCCCTCTCCTAGCCACAGGGCACCATGGGAGCCGAAGCACTCCGGATCTCCCCTACTCCAGGGCCTTGGCAGACTGAGGAGTCACGGCGAACCCGACGGCCCTGAGGCCGGGCAGATACCGAGACAGGCAGCGCTCTCACCTACAGGGCCCGCGCACGGTGCCAGCCATCAGATCCGCGAGGAAGCCGGCTCCTTTCCGTCACTCGGATCAGTTTCTGGCGGCACCCCGCACGGTTAGTGCGCCCCAGGCTTTCCCGGTCAAGTGAAGCTACCGGAGTCCCCGCTCTCCCGGCCGGGCTCCACCTGCCGCTGGGGACTCTCAGCGCAAGGTGCGGAACCAGCCCGCAGGACGCTCTGGAGAGCGCGGCAGCAGGAGGGGAACCCCCGCCCCGGGTTCCGCCAGGCTCGCAGCTCAGCGCCGCTGCCGGGCTCCCACCGCACTCCCCGCCTCCGGGGAGGCTCGCCCCCAGCAATCAGCGAGCGGCGACCAGCCCGGCCACTCACCCGCAGCCGCCACAGCCTCGGAACGGCAAGCTTCCTAGGGCCGCCGCCCGGTCCCGGGCTCTCGGGAGCGGCCTCCCGGCCTGCCAGAGCGCCTGCCGCCGCCCCAGTCTCTCCCCGCCTCAGTCCGGCCCGACCGCTTCGATTCCCCCACCGCCCCCGCTCCGGGAGCCGCAGCCCCGCGCTCACCCACGCTCCGGTAGCCCAGGATCGCGATCTTGCGGGACTTGGACGGAGGCATCTTCTCCCCGCCCGGCCCCGACCCACATCAAGGGCGGCGGCTGAGGAGACGGCGGCGGCGGCGAGGCGGGGCGGCGGGACTGGACGGAAGACCCCAAGGGCGAGAGAAAGAGGAGACGAGCGACATGCAGGGACCGGCGGCCGCACCGACCGAATGGGGCTCCCTACGCGCAGCAGCGGCGCTGTCCCCACGTGACCTCTACATCACCGGCCGCACGTAGCCGAACGTCGTTACGTCACGAGCCGAGGCTGAGATTGTGGAGTTAAAAGCCGGCCGGAACCGCGACGGCGCGGAAAACTCGCTGCGTCATTTTCTGCCTTCACACCACCCCTTAGCTACGGAGCAAGTAGGACCTCTGATTGGGCCTGAACTGTAAAGTAGGTTATAATACCCGGCAGCGGATTGGCAGCAGATTATGGACGCTGACTAGCCAGCGCCATCGATTGGCTGTATTTGAAGGGTGAGGCGGGGCTAAATGGTGGGGCAGGCAAATCGTGATTGGTGGAGAGGGTGGAGTTGTGCATGCGTGAGCGATGCGGGCCTTACTGGGGTTGGTTGGTTTCGGGTCAATCGGCTTTGCGCCTTGAGGCTGGGGAGCGGGTGGGGATGCTCGAGGGAGCGCGTGCCTGGGTGTGGTGGCGGTTGGGCTGGGGCCTCTTTTGAATATGCCGCTTTTGGCAAGTGCTGCAAGAACCCGCCTGCTCACGCGCGCGGGCGGGGCGTTGACGCTCCGGCTGTGGGGCCTCTCCCCTGGTTCAAGTAATCCCCGCGCCGAGCCGAATCACGCCTCCGCGCCGCTGGGCCCCACGCGTGGGGAGGGGGTTACGTTTCAGGGCAGCTGCCCTGGGCTGCAGATTTGGCCCGGGTGCCCCCACATGGTGACGGAAAAACGGCTGGGGCAAACGTGAGGGGGCGTTGCGGGCCAGGGCACCATGCCGGGCGCTAGCTTGGCCCAGTAGCCCCTCTGTCAGAGCGAGAGGCCGCAGGGCGGGGGCACGCTGACGTGCGGCCGAGGGCGGCAGAAGAAGTTCCTGAAGGATGAGTTCACCTCCCTAGGACACTGTGCCACACTAGCAGGCCAGAGAGATTGACTTGCACGGGGGCAGCAACCCTAGCAAAAGGGCGATGTGGGGCGGGTGTTACAACCTACGTTACAGCTCAGGCCCGATCAGAGGTTTTTGCTCCGTACCTTAGCTAAGGGTTTGCAGGGAGTTCTCACTGTAATGTGGTGCTGGAGTATTGAATCTGAGGTAGGCTCCGGCACTGCATACTTGAACCCTACCGCAGGCAGAAGTCTGGTGATCTGTAGGCATGTTGCTATTATCTGTCTCTGGAAAATGTGTACAGCTAATTTAGAAGGGGCTGTTATTTTCTGAAAGAAATATATGCTGCACATGGACTTAATACAAAAATACTCCCCTGCCAACTGTACACCCCTAGATGCCACTCCACACTGGAACCTATTTGAGATACAGTAGGACTTCAGAGTTATAGACACCAGAGTTGCAAACTGCCATGACTTTGTGTCAATCACACACCTCATTTGGAACCAGAAGTATGCAATGAGGCAGCAACGGTGACCAAAAAAAAGCAAATACAGTTCAGTACGGCGTTAAATGTAAACTACTAAAAAATAAAGGGAAAGTGTTATAAAGATAGTTGACAAGGTAAGGTAATTTTCTGTGCTTGTTTCATTTAAATTAAGATTGTTAAAAGCAACGTTTTTCTTCTGGATAGTAAAGTTTTAAAGCTTCATTATGTCACTGTTCTGTTGTAAACTTTTGAAAGAACAACCATAATATTTTGTTCAGAGTTACAAACAATTTCCACTCCCAAGGTGTTTGTAACTCTGAGGTTCTACTGTATCATGCTACAGCTACAACCACTACTTGATGGGTACCCCATCATGAAAGAAATCTTTCTTGACCGCCTGTCTTTTGGCCTTCAAACAACCTCTCCAAGCTCACCATCACACGCAAGCTCTCCACAGACTGGGACACACCAGTTCAAAGTGGTACCAGACCAGACCTTACCAGAACAACAGATGCAAAACCTGCAGATAATTTCCAGTGGTATGATGATCAACACTCCCCACAACACACCTTTCAAAATCCATGGGTCTTATACATGCCTATCACAAGATGTGGTGTACCTCATCCAGTGCACCAAATGCCCCAATAGCAGCTACATGGGTGAAACTGACAATCATTTAGAAAAATAACAGACATAAACACACTTACCTAGGGGTAACACTTTTTACAAAGATATCACTTTATATCAGACCAGGCCTTATCTTCAAAGGACAGCTGCACAAGACCTTCAAAAGACAAGCCTGGGAGCTTAAAGTCATAATTTTGCTAGACACTAAAAATCACAGACCAAATTGAGACACTGAATTTATGGCTTGTTACAATCTATAGCCTGCTAACAAAACCACCCCTTCACCCTGGTGCTTCCTCCCCACTTTCCTCCATGTGACTGTAGGAGTGTAGCTGGGCCATTTCACTTTGAATGATTCTTTGAAATCTGTCAGGTTTCAGAGTAGCAGCAGTGTTAGTCTGTATTAGCAAAAAAGAAAAGGAGTACTTGTGGCACCTTAGAGACGAACAAATTTATTTGAGCATAAGCTTTCGTGAGCTACAGCTTACTTCATCGGATGCATTCAGTGGAAAATACAGTGGAGAAATTTATACATAGAGAACATGAAACAATGGGTGTTACCATACACACTGTGACGAGAGTGATCACTTAAGGTGAGCTATTACCAGCAGGAGGGCGGGGGGTGGGAGAGGAAGAACCCCACCCCCCCCTCCTGCTGGTAATAGCTCATCTTAAGTGATCACTCTCCTTACAGTGTGTATGGTAACTCCCATTGTTTCATGTTCTCTATGTATATAAATCTCCCCACTGTATTTTCCACTGAATGCATCCGATGAAGTGAGCTGTAGCTCACGAAAGCTTATGCTCAAATAAATTTGTTAGTCTCTAAGGTGCTACAAGTACTCCTTTTTTCTTAAAATGTGTAACTACTTACGTTAAACAATCTGTTCCATCTTGTATTTAGCTGTGACATTGAGAGCAAGTCTAGAAAATTAAGCTGATTTAAGTTACTTTGATGTACAGCTACTGCAGTAATTACATCAATTTTACATGTCCACCCTACACTCCTTTTGTCAGTAGTGCACATCATCATCAGGAGTGCGTCCATCGATTTAATGGACAGTGTGGGGCACTGACAGCCTGGAGCTTCGCCACCCAGGGCTGATAAACTCAGGGGCGAGAGGGAAGAGAAAAAAGTTCTTTGCTCTTGATTACAGTGATCTGAGGTGTTACTTGGAGCAATCACAGAGGAAACACTTTCAGAAAAGTGATATTTAATTTTAGGGTGACCTTTCAAGCACCTAATTGGTACCAAAGATCACAGATTCTGGCCCAGAGAGGAAGGAACCTATAGTTTGTTTCCTACTTAGGTCTGGTCTACATTAAAAAATGTTGGCAGTTAGGAGTGTGGGGAAAAACCCACACACACCTAATTGACATAACTATGCCAGCAAAAGCCCTATTGTAGGTGCAGTTTTATTCAGGGAGCTGGTGTAAGCTATACCAGCAGAAGAACTCCTGCTGATGGCAAGCTGCATCTACCCTCTGAGGGTTTGCTGATATCTATGCTAGCAAATCCTTTCTCGCATAAACAGGGCCTGACTCACTTGTTTTTCCAGTTACTATTTACCCTTCCCACCATCCATGAATAAATGGTAAACATTAGAAAGTGGAAGCAAAAACAGTTCTATCTAAGGAAATGGCTCCCTCTGGTTTTCCCAGTACATCTTGTCTGACTTTGTCTTCTAGAATGTAAATTCTTCAAGGCAGGGATAACTGTGATTATATTGTGAAAATCAGAGTATGTTGTTGGCCTTTAATGAATAGTTGCACCAACAGAAAGAAGTTCTCTGATATGAGAACATAGATTCAATGAGATAATATTTTAAGATAGTGAGATGTAAGATAGCATGATGTGGATAGCATTCTGCTGATGATGCAGCACAGTCATTTGTCCTTGACATTTATGTCTGAACTTTGTTTCCATTCATTAGGGGATAAATCCTATCTCCTCATCTATGAAAGGCTGGATGTGGGGATGGGGAGAGAGGGGTGGCATGTAGGATCTGTGCCCCCATATGCCTTCTGGTGCTTTACTTCACAGTAGCTTCCAATCTACACGTTATGGAGGTAGAGGATCTGGTGCTATGAAGATACTTCTGTTCTTCCCTACCTTCAGGGGCAAGTTAGGATTGCAAAGGGCTACTGTGGCCATCGTGCTCTGCAGTCTGAGAGGAAGAATCCTTGCCCCTTCCCCCTCTGGGTCTAGTAGCTACTGTACAGTCCAGTGTCTGGATCATTTGCTAGATGGCAGAAGCAAAAAGAACTGGGCTGATTTGCTGGCATTTTATTATTTTAATTGTTGTGCGTCTGTAACAACATTTGGAGGATCCTGCTGGTGTCTGTTGTAGCCATGACTGTACCTTCCAAATCTGCATAGCCCCTTACGACTAGTCCTGAGACATCTGGGCACTGTTCCCTGCTCCTCCCTCCCTACAGCATTCATAAAATATTTTATATTTACAAGGTGGGTCAGACCCCCTGGACACATTCCTGCCAGGGCTTGGTAAGCAGCAGTCATTCTACCTCCAGGGGATATCAGTCTGGTTCCACTGGATCTTTCTTTTGATTCACCGCCTTTTCTTTTTTTTCCTTTCACCTCCTGGGCCATACTTATCTCTTCACTGTTTCTCTTCCCGGTTAACTTCCTCTCATTGCCTCCCTCCACCAGGTGGGAACAGGCTGGCACAGGCACTGCACTGTTTTCTGATTCTCCTCCCTTCAACGGCCCAGGCTCAACCTTTTCACCTCAACAATCTTTTCCTCCTCCTCCTCCTCCTGCTAAAAGTTCTTCAGCCCCACCACGATGCATTCTTGTTGAATAACAGTAGGAAGGAAAAGGGTACCATGCCATTTCTCCTCCTAAAAGACATTGTGTCTTTAAGGCACAAGCCCACATAGACTCACAGTTCCTCCTGTAGCTCTCCAGTGCACAGGGAGATCATGCCTACTGCACCACCCATTCACCGGGTGCACCCAATCCCCCACACAGCCAGCCAGTGGGTGGTGGTCCAGTCTCTCCCTGCATGTATTGGGATAGTTGGCATCCCAGAGGTTTGCAATTTTGCCTAGGCCCTATAAGATGTACCTGTGATTGGCAAAAGAGGGGATAGCTGGTGGAGGCCTACAACTCTGCTCTAGAGTTGCATGAGCTCCACATTTGTTTCCAGACCTAATTCAAGATATTTGTTTTGATACATAGGCACAAAAGGGCCGTAGTTATTTCAGAAACATCCTCTCTGCTTGAGCTTTACCTTGATCATTTTGATCAGCTGGGCAGGTAAGCTGAACCTCCTTAGT